GCAGGCTCATAGAAAAGGATGTCAAAGCAAGTGAAAATGCCAAACTTCCCAAAAGGAGTCTCAAAGGTGACAGCTTCTGGCTCTTTTGGATAATTAAACTGATTTTCTCCTAGAAAGAGATTATACTGTAGGGGAAGGAAAATAGATAAACCAGTTAGAGGCACACTAACCATGTGTCTTGGATTCATTCCCTAAAGCTGCTCAGAATGACTAGAGAAAAGTTTTGACCTGTGTTGGAAACCCTCACAGGCAGGAAATCAGGCTAAAATTATATGATCACCATACCCAAAATATGGAACACATATTGCATACTGCCCCGGCATCTAGCTAGGAAAGCGGCCAGCTGCCTTCAGGTCTGTTGGTGTCATCTGCAAAACAATAATCTCTCCACTCTCCCCACCTAGTTTATATTTCTGGCAACCCAAATGCAACCAGAAGAGAAACAGTAATGTAAAAGAAGTATGGGAGATCTGGTGCCAAGAGACAAAATTGGTGACTTTGGTGTGGAGATGCCCAGAAGCACTGAAGTACAGAGCACCAGCATGAAGCACAGGACAGTATTTGGGACGCTGCAGAGTAAAAAACAAAGGCTGTGCTGATGGGAGAAAGGCAGATGATCTCAGCCAACAGAAAAACTGAAGTTTTTGACATCCTCAGCTTTCCAACATTTACCTTCTTCTTTCACATACATATTTATTAAGAGTCTTTTATAAATGTCCAGGTGGTCTGAAAGTAAATATGGATAGCAAGCCAGAAAAGAAGTTCAAGTTTACTTAACTTGTAATTCAGCACCTGGGCCATAGCAGGCTGAGGGCCAGACTTGCTTTATCAGTGTTTCATTCACCCAGTTTGCTCACAAATAGATATCTTGGCATCTTTTCTCTAAACAGCCAGATGAAATATTGGGCCCAAAGTGCCTTAAATAAACTGACTTCACTCTACCCACACTGGCAGAATATCTAGCACATAATTCATAAACAGCTTTGATGGAACTGGCAGGTAGGCACATAATACTGAAAGAGGAATTTCCATTTGGTGCAAATGACCCAATATCCTTATCTCTTTTTACACCCATCTGGCATTTTCACTTGCTTTGACATCCTCACAATGTCAAAACAATTCCCATTGTGCAAAAACTGTGCCAAAACAGCATCAGAAATAAAGGTCTGCCTCTCTGAAGTCAGACTGCTCATCTACGATGAAATGGACGTGAACACTGAAATCCTGGAACATGAAGTGGTAGTCTGGTGAAAAGCTGGCACTGAAAACTGAAGCTGCTCAAGCAGCAGAATTTACAGTAGTAGCGAGCTAACGAACTGAGGAAGTCAACCAAAGCCATATGCCACTAAATTGCACCAGAACAATCATTTTTCATTCCAGTCTGTTTTGAGAAACATGACAGCAAATGCAAATTTGGCATCGACACTTCATAGCAAGAGAGATATTCTTTTAAATTATAAAGAAAAACAAAACTCTGTCAGTGGACAATGACTGGCATCTAATTCTCTTCCCAAACCTAGATATTTTGGAAGTAGGGGAAAATTAATTTCTGTCTCTCCAAGACCACTTTACCTTGTGGTAGCGAGCCACCAGTTTGCCCTGTGCGTCAAAGACGACATCCGTGTTGTA